TATTAGGTATATTATTCCGGTAACAGCACAGAAGACCCGCATCATAAAAATGGTGTAGGTATATAAGTAACATCAGAAATGAGTAAATATGTGGCCATTTTCGTACCAGTCTCGAATAGAATTATATTACTCCAAATAAATATTCAACCATTTAAAATTAGCATACTTAAAACCTATGCCCCGACTGCAGATAGAAAATATAGAAAATAGAAAAGCGACGACTATACACTTAGAAAGCCCCATTTGACGATGGCAATAACTCTGAGGCCTCAAGAAATCAAATAGACCAGGGCTTCCCAAACTGTACGTCGCGACGCCCTGGGGCGTCGCGGAGTTATCTCAGGGGCGTCGCGTATTAGCGCGGACTTTTAATACAGAAAATATATTTATTTGATTTTAAATGGGTATAAAATATATGTATTCATAAATAAATAAAATAAAAAATATAACATCAAGTCGATAGAACCTTGAATTTTCGAAATTATTCAAAAAATTGTTCAATCCGAAAATTATCCGATAATCGGATAATTATCTGGACATTGGTAACAGTGGAGTCGAGTGAGCGCTAGGCGCATTCTGTTTCTGACCGCGACCGCTGCTGCCGGCCGGCTTCCCTACAACGTGTTTCGTACTGTCACGCGTGTTATCTCATTTATTTAGTCAAGCTTTTGTTTTGTTTTATTACGCACGCTGATTTTTTTGCTAGCAACAATGGATACTTATATTCAAAATAATAGAAAACGAAGTGAAGAATCAGGCGAGAGCAGTAATGTTAATTTAAGTAAAAAGGAGAAATATAGGAAATATAACGACCAATATTTGGATTTCGGATATACTTGTATTACTAAAGGGGACGTAGAACTTCCACAATGTGTTGTTTGTCACAATGTGTTGACGGCTGAAAGTATGCTTGCCTCTTACATGGTAGCTTACCGTGTAGTCAAATGTAAAAAACCACATACGATCGCTGAGAACCTGATCTTACCTTGCAGCGGTTGATATGGTAACAGTGATGATTGGAGAATCGGCACCTAAAGAAATAAAAAATGTACCTCTTTTAAACAATACGGTTAGTCGCCGTATTCATGACATGGCAGAAAATATTAATGAGCAAATTGTGGGGAAACTTTCAGGTTTATTTGTCATTCAACTGGACGAGGCGACTGATAGCAATGATGATGCTTAATTAATATACTATGTAAGGTACATGCAAGAAAGAAATATATGTGATGATTTGTTATTTTGCAGAAAAAATAAGAGAAACTTGCAAAGCTACTGATTTATTCGATATTTTAACTCATATATGGCTGAAAACTATATTAACTGAGATAACTGTGTAGGCGTGTGTACGGATGGTGCGCGAGCGATGTCTGGACAGTATGGAGAATTACAAGCTCTCATCAAAACCAAGGCTACAAGTGTAAAATGGACACATTGTGTCATACATAGAGAGGCCTTAGCAGCAAAGAACATTTCACCTGTGTTGTGATGGATATCATTATTAAAGTGGTGAACTACATTAAAACACGACCCGTGAAATCAAGACTTTTCCATAAACTTTGTGAAGAAATGGGGGCCGAGCACACCTCTTTAATTTATTATTGCAACTCTCGTTGGCTTTCCAAAAACAACGTACTCGCACGTGTATACGAATTACGAAATGAATTTTACACGTATCTACATACAGAATCACCTAATGATGTGCAAAACTTTATTAATTCAGAGTTTATAATAAAATTAGCATACCTCTGTGACATATTTTACAAATTGAGTGATCTTAATAAGTCTTTGCAGGGAAACAATACTCATATCCTTCAATTGGCAGATAAAATTACTGGGTTTCAGAAGAAGTTGCCCTTATGGAAGAGAAAATTAGAAGATCAAGAAATTGACTGTTTCCCTGCTTTACAAGGTATTCTACAAGAAAAATCGATAGAAATCCTCGAACCCTCTTTAAAAAAATATGTTTACACAACACATGTTATCATTGAGCGAACACTTTGAGAAATATTTCCCGAAGATCTGGAGCAATATAACTGAATCAGAAACCATTTTCAGTCTTCCACACCATTGACACTTTCAACATAGGAAGAAGAACAACTGATAGAATTGTCCTGTGATTGCAGCCTAAAGCTTCAATACGACAGGGACAAACTGTTTGAATTTTGGAGCTCAGTTTCTCATGAATATCATGCCATCAGCACTGCTGCATTAAAGGTTTTATTACCATTTGCGACTTCGTACTTGTGCGAAAAGGGCTTTTCTGCAGTTGCAGTAATTAAAAACAAGTACAGGTCAAACATAAACTTAGAAAAAGAAATGAGAGTTGCAATTTCCAAACTGGAGCCCCGGTTTCATAAGCTGTGCTCAGAAAAGCAAGCACATCCCTCACATTAACCAGCCAGTTACATAAATAAATATCCCTTTTTATTTTTGTGCCTATGTCTTCATTTCGTTCTTAATTTCTAATAAAAATTATAAATGTTTCTTCTTCTTCTTAAGGTGCCGTGCATTTCTGCGTAGGTGTCCACCATACATCGTCTTGTCAGGTGAGATGTTAAATATTCAGGATTAAATAATTCTGTTTTTAGCAGCATTGCGAAGCATTTCATAGCTGTGGATTCCTGTCCATTGTCGTATATTGCGCAGCCATGACATTTTTTTATAAATGTTTAAATATTTTTATAAATGTTTAAATGGTGTTTTTGTTATAACTATTATATAACCTGTTACTAGGCTAGTACTAAAATTGGTAAATAAGTATTATTGGGGGTTGGATTGTGGGGCTTCGCAAAAAAATAGCAAAGTCCTAAGGACGTCACAGTACGAATAAGTTTGGGAAGCCCTAAAATAGACTATATACTTGTAAATGAGCGTTTGCGAGTGTATCCGTAAAAAATCACTACATTACCTGGGGCAGATATTGGATCTGATCATCAACCACTTGTAGCAGATATTAAACTAAGGTTAAAACGAATTCAACGACAAAACCAAAAACCAATGTATTTAACTTTGACGATATAAACATTAAACAAGAATTTAATAATAGAATAAAAAAAATCGCAGAATAACTAAAAGATGCAGAAGAACTATGGAGTGAATTTAAAAATCAAGTTAACGAAATCTTTATAAACAATAATTATAAATTATACTATAAAAATAAATGAATGATAGACGACATCTTGAAATTAATGGAACAACGTCGACTGATAAAATCTAATGAAACAGGATATAGACACCTGCAGAGAAGAATAAAAAGGGAGATCGAATTAGCCAAAGAAAAATGGATGAGAGAAAGTTGCGAGAAAATGGAGGATATAATATCCAAACACGACTTATTTAATGTGCACAAAAAACTAAAAGAAATGAGTAACATTTTTACGAGTTCCCTCTGTACCCGTTGACAATAATAACAAAATCATTGTAAATGTGCATGAAATAAGAAAAGAATGGCAGCTGTATATATCAGAGTTGTTTGAATATGACAGGAATAATATTGCCGAATTCTACCAAAACTGCACTGACGGCCCAGAAATGATTAAATACGAGGTAGAACACGCTATAAATAATGCTAAAATTAAAAAAGCTTGTGGTCCAGATGATACACCAACTGAGTTGCTGAAACTAATAAAGGATGATGCACATAAAAGTAGTAGTAAGATTTTTTAATTCAATATATAACACCGGAGTGATTCTCACAGATTGGCTCAAATCCATCCACCATCTTTGTCGCAATACCTAAAAATACAATGCAAGAAAATGCATAGAATATCGATCAATTAACCTAATGAGCTACATTCTTAAAATTTTCTTAAGAATACTTCACAACAGAATTAGATGCAAATGCGAAGAAGATCTCGAAGATACCCAATTTGGTTTTAGAAATGATATGGGAACGAGGGAAGCACTTTTTGCGCTTAATATCCTATTACAAAAATGCCGTGACCAAAGAAAAGATGTATTTGCATGTGTCGTGGACTTCGAAAAGGGATTCGATAAATTTCAGCATGTAAAATTAATTTAAATTCTGAAAAATATCGGAATAGATGCCAAGAATATTCGTGTCAATAAAAATTTGTAATGGAATCAAAATGCTATCGTAAAAACTGGAGATAATTACACCGATGAAATTTCCATACAACAAGGAGTCAGACAAGGTTAGATTTTGTTGTCAACATTGTTCAATGTTTACTCGGACCAGTTATTTAAAAAGGCATTTGAGAGACAACCATATGGAATAAAAATCAACGGGGAACTACTGAATGTAATTAGATATGCAGACGATACAGTAATTCTGTTAGATAATATTGAAGTCTCCAAATTCTGTTTGATCGTATTCACGAGGTAGGAGAGGAAATGGGCATTAAAATAAACTCAAACAAAACCAAATTTTTAGTGTTTAGTCGTGACCCACGTCGCGATGCAAAGCTTCAATTAAACGGAGTCCAAGTTGAGAAAGTTCATAAAATGACATACTTGGGAACTGTGATAACGGACCAACTAGATCCAGGGATAAAAATAAAACGTAGAATAGCAATGACTAAAACTACTTTTATGAAAATAAAGTCATTTCTTTGCAATAATCATCTCAGTTTAGAATGGCAGTGTGTGAAAGTGCTATGTTTGGTCCGTACTTTTGTACAGTGCAGAAGTGTGGATGCTAAAAGTATCGATCATGAACAAAATTGAAGCATTGGAAATGTGGATTCATAGACGAAAGCTGAAGATACCTTGGATAGCAAGGAAAACTAATGAAGAAGTACTAAGGGGCGTCAACAAAGATAGAGAACTGCTAAAGACTCTTAAACATCGAAACATGTCTTATCTGGGACATATAGTAAGGGGAAGTCGATATAAAATATTACAACTGATGCTTAAAGGCAAAATAGAGGGCTGTAGATATATAGTCGCTAAAACTAAATTAAAAAACAAACTTTACATGCTTTTAATAATTTATTACCAAATCTAAACATTTTATTTCATTTAATATTACTGCGTTTTTATTTGCAGTGGGTACACCTTCCTATGGCATCTTTTTTCGATATTTTGAAAGGGTTAACTGTATCTAGTGATGAGGGTAGTTCGATAGGTGCAGACCGGTTACACGGTAACATGTTATAGGGAGCCAATCCTGTAAGATCAGAACCAAACAATACAGAATGATCATCGAACGTAGAAGGATCTGGGTTGTTTGCTGTATCCGATACTATTTTTAAAATTTGAAGATACATATTATTATTCAACGGTTTATTAGTTAATAAGCTATTTGAACTTGATTCGTCGTTTCCTAGATATTGATGAGAGTCTCCCAAAATGCTGGCAGGATAAAAGGATTCATTTATATTGGCGGAATTATTAAGAGCATCGGATGTTGTCCAAGATTTCGTATTGTAAGTATTTGTCGAAATTTTTTTATGCTTAGTTCTTTTTAAAATATTGTGAAGTTCAGAGCTTTTCAAAGTTTTGTATGTTTTATCTTCATAACCGGAAGAGTAAAATGGAGTTGGCTTTTGGAATTTTGAATTTCCAGGTTCTGTCAAAGTTTTATCTGTTCTATCTTTACGAAAAGGATAGGAAAATTGTGTGTAATATTCTGCTGAATCTTTTTGTGATTTCGAATTTTCAGGTTTTCTTAAACTTTTCTTATTTTTAGTATTAGTCAAAGCTTTTTTATGTTTTGCTTTCTTTTCTGATTTTGTCAAAGTTTTCTTTGTGACTTTGTAATGAGAATCATAAAATGATGAGTAGGATTCTCCTGCATGTTTTGGGGATTCCAAATTTTCAGATTTTGTTTTCAGATTCAACATTTTCTTATTGTCATTTGTCAAAGGGTTTTTAGGTTTAGATTTTTTTATAATTTTAAGATTTTCAGATTTATTCAAAATTTGGTCTGTATCTTTATGACGAGAGTTGTAAAATGATAAGTTGGATTCTGGTGAATCTTCTTGAGATTTTGAATTATCAGCTTTTGTCCAAATTCTCATATTTTCAGCGTTTTTCAAAGTTTTCTTATGTTTAGCTTTCTTCAAAATTTTAAGATTTTCAGATTTTTTCAAAGTTTTGTTTGTGTCTTTATAACGTGAATCGTAAAAGATAAGTAAGATTCTCCTGAATCTTTTTGGGATTTCGAATTTCCAGGTTTTGTCAAAATGTTGTCTAGTTTATTCAAGGATTTTCTCCAATTGTTTTCGGATTGAAAATTTTCAGATTTCTTCAAGATTTTATTTTTAGATTTGTCCAAAGTGTTTTTATAAGAAAAATGTGTTTTATCACTTAACATTTCTAGTATATTTTTAAAAAATCTTGTTATGACAAACTTAGCATTAGTAGGCGAAAGGACTGTATGTCCTAAGCGATATACTGCATTGTTTATACCTGATAGGCTTAGCTGCCGTAAAATAAACTGTATTACTCCTTTTGAGTTTTTATTATATTTAACTAAATTAGAACCCGCTAGTAGATACATAATTTGACTTAGAGTTTTAAAATGTTTCGGATTCCGACGATATAGTTTTAACGCTATTTGGGGTAGCAAATCATGATACTTTTTGGGAGACAAATTAGAAGACGAATGATCTTGAAAAGTATTCTTTACAGTATGACTTTGATCGGCTGTTAATAGATTTTTAAAAATTTTCTTTTGATATGTATTAGGAAGAGTTTCTATAATGGGAATTATAACCTTCAGTGGATCTGTAACGTCAGAGTTCTTTTTGCTTTGGTGTATAATTTTTAAAATAATATTGGTAATATCTTTTACACTATCAACTGTCTTAGAAAATTCATACGAGGTGTTAACATTAGAGTGTTTAGATAAAATTTTCATAAGTTTCAAAATAATATCTACTAAATTTTCAGAAGGAGGTGAATTATTAAAGGCTTTTAATATTGTATATAGCGTTGATAATTTACTACTACCGACACTTTCTGATTGACAAATTTGTAAAATGACTTTAAGAAGTTTTTTAAAATTTGTAGGATATTCTTGTATTTTAGAAATATCTAAATCAGAAATCAGATTGTAAATATCCCTAGGTCTGACTTGGTAAGCAGAAGCAATACGCTTATCTACGCCGCCGTAACTAGCATACGGAGATTTAAAAGGAACGTGATATGCATTCCAATTTACTGGTTTATGTAAACTTTTAACGGGTTCAGGTTCGTTAAAAACAAATTCTGACAATTCAACTTCTTCTGAACTTTCCAAGAATGACTCATCGGGTGAAATCCAGTCTTCAATTGCTTTTCGTGGATCCTTATATGGAATCTTTTCTCTTGGTAATTTTGTAATTGCATCCGCCTCCTTTAGTACGTAGTTAATTTTGGGTATTAGGTTTTTCTAAAAATAAATTATTTGTGTTAAAAGAAATATAATACCAGAAATTGATTAAAATTATAACGAAACTCCAAATTATAAACATTTTGTTTTTTTTTTTAATTTTTGCTTATAATTAGAATTTTTAGTATAGTCGGACAATTTTCAATTAAAGGTGACTAATCTAAAAATTGAACTAAACTGTAGCGATAACCATCGAAAATGTCAGCAGTAAATTCTTACTGGGGTCATTTTTATTGTGTATGCTTCGCCCATGTAAATAACTGAAAAAGTAATTTAGTCCCATAAAAATTTGTATTGATTGTAGGGATGAGAAAAACCTACCGGTTTTATCCGAAACTCCTACCGGTTTTATTCGCATTAACCGGTTTTATCGGTTGTTTTTTGTCCCGGTTATAACCGGTTTTTTATTTTTAAAGTAAAAACCGGTTATTAGGTTATTAGGTTTTTACGGTGATTAGGTTATGTATTATTTTGGATCACAGTCATAATTATTATTCTCAAGTAATTATTTCAAACAAAACCATAATTCAAGTTTTATTTTATTTTATAAATACAGAAGCAAACTAAAATTGCAAACTCACATCACCAAGAAACAATTAAGTTTTATTATAATATTTCCTTGAAAAGTTATTTAAAATCATAATATTTACATAAGAAACATCATAAATTTTTCACACATGACTCTTGACATTGAAAGTGGGTGAATGGCTTTTGCTGATTACCAAAAATAATGTTCTGACTATGAATATCGAATTACTGATTACGAATACGAATCTCCAAGGATTTCCCTACGTTTTTAAAACGACAGGAAGTAATAAATGAGTTAAAATGTACCTATTATACAAATCGTCCCTACCATTTCCAACTATCGAATGTGAAAAATTGGGTTTTTTGCATTAAACGTGATACACCTTGTAGCAAAATATCGAAATTGCAGCTTGATCAGAAACGCGGGAAATATTCTGTCTAAACCATCGAATATGAACATTTTGTCATTTTGTTTTGGTCAAAATATCGAATATGCTGCAAACTGACGAAAATGGAATATTCGATATTTTGTTTTGTATAAATATAACTAAAGGCATATATATGTACAATGCAAAATGACGAATGTGTCACATTCATTATCTTCAGTTAGTGATGGGCGCATTCGAATGAAAAATAATCGGTAATCCGATTATTTGAAATAACCTGGTCATTCGGTTATTGAATCGGAATTCGAATGATAATCGGTTTTCTGTATAAATTTACAACTTTGGGTATTCGGATTTATTTCACTTCATTCAGATTAAGAATCAATGTTAGATAAGATACCGCCAACAGACAAATATTCGAATTCTAACCTGTGTTGAAACTCGAAACCTCGAAATCGTGTGGGAATGGGCATATCTAAACAATGGTATATGGTATCACTAGGTGTTTGGGGCGAAGGAAATAAACATTGGTATAACCTTCATGATAGTGGAAGCTATAAAAAGAATGCGAGCAAGTATAGGTTACAATTAATAAATAAAAAAGAATAATAGAGATGAAAATATATTAAAGGCAAAACAACAATATTATCCATAAAACGTAAATAAAAATTATTTCAGGTTACTATATAATATAAAAAAAATAAATTAAAGCTCACAGGAATTTAAAAATATAATTTGGTCTAGGTTCTTTGGTGCAAGTCTATTTCTTCTTAAATTAGTGATTTGCCCAGTTTTTGAGAAAACTCTCTCGGATGGTACCGATGTAGCAGGTACGCACAAATATTTAATTGCAAGTTCATACAACTCAGGTAATACTTCTTTATGTTTAACCCAAAAGTTGAGTGGATTATTTTTTCTATCTACCGCTGGAAGCTCCAAATATTGTCTGATCATCAGAATACCAATACTTGTAGGCGTAGAACATATTTTTTTTTCTGCCATTTTTTTATCAAAATGGGTCCAAATTGATATTTCTTCGACATCGGAAGAGTGTTGCGGCTGAGGAGATACTTCCTGATCTGAAACTGCCTTACGTTCAGCAATTCGCTGATTTAATTCCTCGGTGACCCATGTTTGAGCATTAGTTGAATTTTCTTCAGAGCCAAATACAACTTTCTTAAACCTTGGATCTAAAAACGTCGCCTTCGCAACTATTTTATTTTTTTCTAAATGACCCAATCTTCTTGATACAACATCTAATAATGTAGTTTTTAAGGTCTGACCTACCTCGGTTTCAGTATGTATATTAACTAGGGCATACTGTAACCCTCGAATTAAAGGTACGATCAACGACATTGTAGGGTACCTTTCACTAGATACAATGGTAGTAATATCATTAGCAGGCTTCAACACTTTAACACAATCAACAATTATTTTCCACTCTTCTGCGTTCAGAAACTGTGGAGATTTAGGCAAATCGGTTACAACAATGCTCAAAGAATCTTTAATATTTATCAATCTTTGCAGCATTATGTAACAAGAATTCCACCTTGTAGAAACATCTTGCTTAACTTTAAGTATTGTAAGACCCATCTGCATTTGAATGGTTTTTAACCTATCACTTGCTACAACACTATGTTTAAAATATCCAACAAGAGCCCTACATTTTGTTAACACACTACTTAAACTATCATTTTTTAAAATTGCTTCACTAACACTTAAATTAAGCGTGTGTGCAACACAGGGATGGTGGTGTTTTTGCAAATTGTGTGTAATTGCCTTTTTAATGTTTGCTCCATTATCCGACACCACAGTAATGATTTTATTACCGATATTCCAGTCATTAAAAATTGAAGTTAATTCATCCGCAATTTTTTCACTTGTGTGAGAGCCAGACATACCTTTTGTACATAAAACACGTGCACATAAATTACTCTCGTGTGTGAAATGGGCCGTCACTGTAATATATGCTACGTTGCTGTCTGATGTCCAAATATCCGTCGTTACAGCAATATTTTCAACTTTAGATAAAGTTATTTTCAGTGTTGAAGCCGACTCCTTATAATATTTGGGTAAAATTTCATAGGTTAGTTTTTTTCTACTTGGTAATTTATACAAAGGTTGTAACGCTCGCGAATATTCTATAAAACCTTTGTCTTCCACAATAGACAACGGCTGATAATCATGAGTTATTAGTTTTAACAGTTTCACATCCAGTTTGTTTAAGTCTGATTCAGACAGTTCATGTACCTTTTTAACACCGAACAGTTTTAATTGTTTTTGAGGTCTCGTGTCCTTACTCATTCCTTCGTTGGCTCTTTTTAAATTTGTACCTGAAGTTCCTGGAACTGCCAACTTGTTTGTATTTTCTACTTCTGGTTGCATTATATTTTCTACATTTTGATTTATTTCTGTGTTCGCCGGTGGTTCATTTTCTAACATTTGGGTAGGATGAATCCTTAATAAATGCTGTCTTAGATTAGTGGTACCTCCAAAACATTTTATAATTTTTTTACATAATTTACATGTCCCTGTTTGATTTTCATTTTTAATAAAATATTCCCACACAACAGATTTTTTCGCACCAGGTCGCATAATGTATATAATTTTATTCTTGTATAATCTAACAACGTAAAAACAGCGCCTAACAAATCTCTAAATTGTATTCGTCACAACAGTTACAACAAAACTAAATCGTAACCGTAATTCGCATTAAAATGATCATTCGTATGCTTATCACCACCGTCACCAGCTCGGAACCGCCGAGCGATCGAATGATCATCATTCGAATGTTAATCCGATTATGTATATCATTCGGATACAGAGAATCCGATTTTTAAAATCATGCGATTATGCCCAACGCTATCTTCAGTGTTGTATTTGATACAGTTATTCAATTATAATCTGCAAACTGTCGAAAATACTAAACATTGCTGACAAGAACAAAACGCACGTGTTCACAATTTGTGAATTATTGCTTCCAAGAAGTTCTTTCGGCGAGGCACTTTATTATTTTGTTTTTTAATGTGTCACATACATTAGTTTCAGAGTTGTAATTGATACAGTTATTCAATTATAATTTGCAAAATGTTAAAAATACTAAACATTGCTGACAAGAACAAAACGCACGTATTCACAATAATTGTGTGAATTATTTCTTCCAAGAAGTTCTTTCGGTGAGGAACTTTATTATTTTTTTTTTATCGGTTTTTCATTATCTGATTATTCAGTTAACTGGGTATAGCTAAACCACAAACAGTGATGTTGTCAAAGCGAGAATTATTTAAAAAAATATTAAACAATGCTGCCTTTGGGACGTCGTCCACACAGTTTATATGGTACCAGTATCGGAAAAATGAAAATAACAAACTTTACATGAAGACTAGCATTGACGGAAACTTTTTACCTCTTGAAACCATACAAAAAAGAGGCAAACAAAATAGTATAAACTCTTTTAAGGCATACGACGAAAGACTCCCAATCACGGATATGAAGAAAAAAAAACCTCTTGTGACTATGTGAACAAAACTTAATACCTAGGCCATACCACCAATATTACCAATCTTTACCAACATCTAATACTGCCAGAGATTGTCTTCCAGAACCTAACGCAACTGAAGACAATGATAACGTTGAATCTAAAATTTAAGACTTTACTTTAATTTATCATTATTTTACTACTGATTACTTGAGGTATCTACAGGACGTGAAGTTCGATAATTGTATTGTGATTATTTTTAACTTTTCTAATTACATTAATTTTCTATCAATACGTACTTTCATAAAAATACTTTTAATAATTTCTTTATACATGATTTTCCCATTTTACCCTATAACTTCAATTTTTAATTAAATTATTTGTAATAAACTTTGTAAGAGCATTGAGATTATTTTCATTTTCCTCCTTTTCAATTAAGAATATAAATGTGTTATAATTAGACCAATATGAACTGTCGAAAAATGCCACATTCGCATTTTGAAACATTGCACCAAATAAATGTGCTAAAATTATACAAATATGGACTGTCGAAAATGCCACATTCGCAATTTTAAAACATTGGACCAAAACAAATCGTTGATTAAGGCTGTTTTCGCAGTTATAGCATACTGCGATTTGAAGTGGGCGTATCACTTACTTTTCTACACTGCTATGTCAGACCCTACGTGACTTCCTACTAATAGTTTGGATGTTTATTCAGTGGCGCCGGCCCACGGGTTGTTTAAAATAAATGCATTATTCTCCATTCAAATTAGTTTTGTCGGAATACTTTTTTTTAGATTAATTATCGTAGATAATGTTTTAAAAAGAATTAA